TTTTCAGTCATTTTAGATTACAAACGGCAAATTGACAGCCCCAAACCCTTCGAGGCTGTCAATTTCCGGTTTGTAATCTAAAATGACTGAAAATTGCAAATTTCGCAAGGCTATATTTTCCGCATTTTACAACATTTCGCAACGAAACTTTGGAATATTACTAATTTTGTGATGTTCTTTCAAGCTGTATTGAAATTTTTGTTGAGATCAAAATTTAGTCTATTACGCAAATGGTCAATTCACAGTCACAACAGTCACACTATCACGTGATCTCTACCAATAAAGTTGATACTCTACTTAATTAACTTATGATGCATGCATTATATGATTGACAGTTCTTAATAACAAAATATATATTATCCTAATTAACTAATATTACCACAATTCTCAAGACACTCCCCCTATTTGTTTTCTGTAAAATGAATATGAATGAATTGTGTATTAATTCTCTGTCCATGTTTGTTCAACTATATGTAAATTTGACCATTCATAACTTAATAAAACTTAAAATATACTGTATATCTCTGATATAAGGTTCTCTATATGGCTGAATGTATATATATAATTAACGTTCTAATCCTGTTCGTCATCTGCTCTGTCCTGAACATGACAGTCTGCCTATCGCGGCAGCATTCTTGGTCTCGACTCTGGCATCTTCACGGCTACATCACAGGACAGTTCCATTAGGTATAGATGTTGAATTGCCCCTTTCAAATGTGCTTCATCCTCAAAGTTTTGCACCTCGTACGACACTGTCTTGACCAACGACAAGCCATTCTACAATTCCGATTTTCCACCTCCCCCGATTCTTTTCCTCGCCTTTTACATTAACACTGTCTCTGACCTTTATACTTAAAACTTTGCCACGATGTTTCATGTTATGCCATGATGCCATGTCAGCGAGCCTTCAAATCTATCCTCTATTAGTGACAGGTCTCAGCGTGTAGTGCTGGACGGTGCTTTGAGCGACTGGCTCCCAGTGACATCGGGGGTGCCTCAAGGATCCATCCTGGGGTCTCTGTTATTTGTGATCTATGTTAATGATATGCCAAACTACAATCAGTGACAAAACACTTTGGACAAAATAGCAAAAGAGCGTACATTTACACCCCGCACCCCCCGTTCAACATTGTGTGTGGAAGTACCAGTGAAAAATGTTTCTTGCCAGCCACCCAACATTGTTTAGGGTGGGGGATGGAGGGATAGTGTTTTATGCTGAACAGTATTTGGAAATGCGGAGATATGTATATATTATCACTGATTGTACTTAACTAGTAACTCAAACCTTGCATTATTTGCAGATGACTCAAAGCTTCTTGACATGCTTCCCCTGGAGTTTACAAGAGAGATCAGTGATCCGATTCTTTTATTCAAGTATAGAATTTGTCAATTTGATGTTGACTTCAGTCAATTTTGTACACCTGTTGAGATCTGAAGAATAAGTATGTGTGCATTTGACATTATCAACTACTGTCCACTATCAATTCACAATCAAAACTATTATCAGAAATCATATTTTACAAGGTCCATTGAACACTGGAATAAATTACCACCTAGCTTAAAATGTATACATTTTAGAAAAGTCAGTTTAGAAATCAATCAACAAATAACTACAAGGAAAGTTTAACATCCTATGAACCTCCTTCATATTAATGTATTATATGTATTTGTGTATGCATCTTGTAGTGTCCTTTATATAGAGATTTTAATATTTACTAATGGTAAAGTGGTAAATGTCAATTTGGCATTATCCTGTTTTTTACCCTTTCACAACCATAACCATGTGTTTGTATGTTTGTAGCTATATGTACTAGCTATGTATGGTGTTGTAATGTTTTGTGACGAATTTAATTAACTAAACTAATATTCAGAAGACCATCTTTTCCACAACATGTCTTAACATTGGCAGATATACTTTGCTCTCTTGCAGCGATCGAGATTCTCAATTTGATGCCTTGGGTCAAACAACACGCATATACAGATTATATAAGCATTGCCTTCTTGCTTTCCAGTTTCTGGTACCTAATTGGACCTGTGTAGTCGACTCATACAACTTGGAAAGGCATATAACCCTCTGTTGTGGAATCCAGTTGCTTTCTCATACCTTATCCATAGTCAGACCCACTCCCCCGTGGAGTATCACATGTGAGCATGTTCCACTAGCTTCTTGGTGTACAAGTTGTCCTCTGGGAGGTAGGTTGGGAAGTCGCCTTTGTTGAGAATTTGGCGGGAAAGAGAGTAGGCATACCAATTCTCATAACAACAGGGATGGGGAAAGTTGTATACCCAGTAGTGGTAGTTCAAGACAATAATGGCATCAAATGTCGGGCATCAAACATCAAGCTATTAAGAGAGGAGCAGAGAGAGATGAAGTTGCTTGGTTTACTGTGGAACAAAGTCGATGAGAAGATTGTGGTTCAGTTTCAAACAAGTGAAATTTCAACACCAACAAAGCGTGAAGTGTTAAGTAACATTGCAAAGATATACGATCCTCTCGGTGTGTGGTATCCCCAACATCTCTGATTGGCAAGCTGTTATACAGAGCAATACGTGACCAGAAAATTCCATGGGATAAGGAACTTCCTCCAGATCAAGTTGCAAAATGGGCCTTGTGGCAAAACGTGTTACCTGACAAAGTAGAGTTCCCAAGAAGCTTGGTTAACCATCAAGAAGAGATTAGTGATATTAAACTACATGCATTTGGAAATGCTAGCGGTAAAGGTGTATCTGCAGTAGTGTTTGCAGTCGTTGAACAACTGTCTGGTGTTAGTCAAGGCCTGGTGGCTGAAAAATCGTGGTTGGCAAAGCAACAATTAACTATTTTGAGACAAGAGTTGGTATCTGCCCACATGGCATGTCACATGGCATGTAACTTGGTGAACAATGTGAAACAAGCGTTAGAAGGAATTCCAGTGAGTGATGTGCATGGTTGGTTGGACAGCACAGTAGCCCTACATGGGTTGAAAGCAGGTGGTGAATACAAACAGTTTGTTCAAAATTGAGTACAAAAGATCATGGAGAAGGCATACATTCATTGGCGATATGTGAATACCAAAGAAAACCCAGCGGATTTGGGCAGTTGAGGAGGCAGTGTAAAACGAATCAACGCAGCTGTAGCTAAAGGGTCCAGAGTGGCTGTCCAAACAAGAACGTTGGCCTAGCGATATCATCACCACTCCAACAGATGAATCAAGCACAGAGTTGAAGCCAATCAAAGAAATCTTAGCAGTAGCTGTATGATGACAATTTATTCGATAAGCTTTTGGAAAAACACAAACTGTGGAAAACAATCAAAATCATGGCTTGGATACAACGATTCATTTACAATATTAAACGTTGCAATAGGAAGAAAATATCTGGTACCATCACTATGGAAGAAACAGAAACACTACTGAACTTTTGGATCCTGAAAACTCAAAATTCGAAGAAGACCGTGCAAGACTTAACAAACAAGAGAAGAAAGAAGGCGTACTTGAATGTCGTGGCAGAATTCAAGGTGATTTCCCTATATACTTACCCAATACAAGTCTATTCAGCGAGAAACTTGTAGCAGACGCTCACAAGAAAACGTTGCACGACGGAGTTGGTTACACTATGGCAAAGATATGCGACAAGTATTGGATACCGCGGTTGAGAAGGCTTGTGCAGAAAATGTTCCATAAATGTAATGGGTGCAAACGATTTCAAGACTATGCTGGTCCAATCAAATATCGACATAAGAAATCCAAAAAGAAGGCTTACATACTGTTGTATTTCTGCAGTTTGACTAGAGCTGTATATTTGAACTTGCTACCCTATCTTACCACAGAAGAAGAGGAAGACCGATAAGGGGAAAACATTTGTGGCAGCTTCGGAATTGGTCAAGAGTGTGATGAAGCATTGCAAAACTGGCTGATGCAAAATGAAATCAAGTGGCAGTTCAACCTAAGCCGTGCTCATAAATTGTAATTGGAAAATCCTCAGAATATTCAGAGTATAGGACGAGAACTAGGACTGGTTATCCAAAACAAGCATACGAGAACTGTAACTTGATGCAACTTATCCTTGCATTAATGTAAGAATAATTTGCTTTGAGCCTCGATTTAAAATTATCAGAAGTGAACGGCAATTTGATGAAAAGGCTATCCTACTTGTTGCCTTAATCCCCTTAATTACCGGCAACATTGTGTATTACGCATAAGAGCGTTTACACTTCGCATTGCTAAAACTGAATATTTATAATTATTGTGCACAAAACAGGTTTTAAATTTGTCTTTAATTAAGCAATGCCTCCTAAATCTTGGGTTTTTTACAGTGCGCAACAGAGGTTTAGCAACTATACATCCAACAAGGTTATTAGCAAAAACTCTGTCTTAGCAACAACGTAAAAACATAGCAACATTGTTAGGAATCTTCTCATTTTTCTGAATATCGATACCCTGATGGAATATTTAAACTCGTGCTAA